CGGAAACAAAATAAAACTGTAATTCTTATAATACACAGCACCTTTATATAGATATATAGATACAGGGTGTCTTAGGAAGAATCTTAGGATGCAGATTTTTAAATATTAAACAAATACTTTTATATTCTCTTAAAAAACGATTTTTAAAAAATTTGGTAAAAAAAAACCATAGATCAGTACCAATTAGTTAGCTATAAGTTTAGATGAATACTTGCAGAGACAGCGCTGCGGGGGGGTGCGCGTGGTTAGATTTCTAAAAAAATGAAATGCTTGGAAATGATAAAAAACTAATAAGATATTCTGAAAGTATTATAAAAAATGTAAAAAGGTGGTGCTCTTGCCAAAAATTGATGATTGGATAATCGATTTCATATTCCGAAAGCACAGAAAGTCGTTCCTCTCAAAATATTTGACATTCTTCTTGAAACACCCCATGTATTATATTATTCATTCGTGGAAGTATCCGCAAGGCGTCTGTTTGTCTATGTGTTGCCATAAAACTAGAGAACCATTGAAAGGAATTTGATGCAGCTTTTACTGCTATGTAGAAGAATGCTTCCGAATTGTTGTTAACTATATTTCAATCTCTTCAACAATTACTACGATGAGCTATAATGATTATATTATCTTATTCTTATATGAACCATTTACTGATGGAAGTTCTAATTTAAAAATAAACGAAGAAAGGATTAAGAGATTATCTTGATCTGATAGCTAAATGTTTGTTACTCAATAACGCACAATGGTCAATGATTTTATAAATGTTTATACATCACAAACAAATATATGTACAATAGAAACTAGATACTAACTATAAATGCTTCGGCCCTTTTAATATAAACAATCCGAACTGTAGATCTGCACAACGTATTTGTTAAAATCGAAAACTGGTAATCAAAATGTAAAATTCCTTTTGTTTATTTTGGATGTTACTGACAATACATTGTATGTACAGTTATATAAACTGGGTATTTCTGTTGGGGTATTTATATTGCCGACTGGAACGATTATATTTATGTATCTTCGACGTTTCGCTAACGCTTATGATTGATAGCTTCAGGATCGGAGGAATTTAGGATGAATATCGAACATCAAATAGAAAGAAAAATGCGAATTTATATGCAAATTTCAACAGATTTGATTAGTGTTTTGTAATCTCAATTATTATTGAATGTTGTTGAAATTTATCAACATCCTCGTCATCATAGGGTTGTCAGACCTAAGACTGGACTCTTTCCTATCCTGCGCTAATCCTCGCATAGCCCTAAAATTAGGCCCTCCGTTCTCCCATTCTTTTTAATACCTCTTCATTTCCAACCTTCTCTATCCACGGTATCCTCATCATTCGCCTGTAACACCACATTTCGAACGCTTCTAAACTTTTCTTTTCCGCCGCGCCTACCGTCCATGTGTCGCACCAGTACAGAGCCATGTTTCAGACATATCTTTTTAACAATCTTTTTTGAATTTCTATTTCTGTTCGCGAGCATAGAAATAACTCCAAGTGAAAAATGCCCTAATAACCCATGTTTGGTAGATATAGGTACCTAATCATTATAAAAAATTCTTAAGTACGGCTTCATGCTCAAATGCCCGTTGGAAAAAAAAGGAAAACCATAAAATAAAAGAAGCATTAAGTTTTTAACCGAACGTGTTTTAGTTTCGAAGTCTGTTTTAATCATTCATATTTATCTATTCTATTTTCGATCGGCATTTGTCTTTATTTTACGAGCGCAGCCTGCCGCCTGCCTTGGTTCGAATCGGTGTCCGCTGATAAATCGCGTGGCTACCGAGCCGCATTACGTAACCTTATACGGACGTTATTTATTACTCATCGGCAGATTACAGCGCTGAGTGGCGCCGCAAGATGCACGGGATCCCCGCACGGGCCGGTTACTGACAGCGCGGTGCGGTGGTGGGGATGTGTCCCGTGAACGGCGGCCGACACCACACACACACAGCGCGCTGGCTGCTATTCGCGCTACCGGTACGGGACAGCGAACGTTGTGTTGGGTGCGTTTGTTTTGATACGCGACGCTCATTTCATGTGCCGATGCGATTGTATTTTAACGCCAACTTTGAATTTTTTATTAATAAAGTATCTGTGACCACTTTTATCGAATACAAATCCAAAAAACTAAGCGCAAAAACATTTAATAATAAAAGTTTACGTAGTTAAAAAACAATGGAAAAACAATAAAAAACAAAAAAACGTGGACAGTTACAAAAAAAAGTATTTGTGAACTTTTGGAAAACTTCTTCAATAATTTGTACAAAAGGATAACTGCACAAGTGCGAAAAACAAAGTTATAATTTGAAATATTGCGAGTTGTTGATAGTTTGACAGTGAAGAAAAAGTGGAAATTATACAACTTATCAATTTTCAAACAAAAGTTTTTAAAATGTTCGACTTTTTGTGAAGCTTTTTATTGAATTGTTTGTTGTAGTATGACGTCCGCAATGTTAAGTGAACGCGGTCTTCGCAGAAAAATGAATCAAGAAACGACGTCTAAAATGCAACAGCAACAGCAGCAGGAAGCGAGCCAGAATGGTCACACGAGTCAAAAAAGTTCCGGCAACGGTCGAAAATCGTCGTCAAAATCGAAATCGAACAGCAATAAGTCGATGGCGCAATCGGCCGAACAGAACAACAACATTAAGCGTCCGAAATTATCTTGCAACTCTAAAGAGGACATGTTGGCAACATACCAACCGTGGGTTATCCAAACGTACGGCGATTTGGCAAAGACAAAAACGATCACTATCAAAAAGTACGCTCGAATTTTGCGGACGCTGCGCGGAGAAGAAACCGTGAGCGCGGATAACAGTAAGTTCCGGTTTTGGGTAAAAGCCAAGGGTTTTCATGTGGGGAAACCCCTCGGGTACGATGCCAAGCCGGCTGACGCGATTGTCGGACGGTACAGCGTTTGCGATACCGATGAGGGGATCGCTGCCGTCGACGATAAGCTTCCTGGATCGGCCAAGGACCCGCCGCTCTATGTTCCAAATGCTCCGAGCAAGGTAAGTCACCATAACAACTAACCATCAACGTCCCACCTTCATGATTTTTTTCTAGCAAAAACGACTACATTTTTATTTGCAGTTTTATACTCTACAACTACCTATTTATATTCAGGGAGTCGTACATGTACACATAAGATTTTAATGGGAAATATTCAAAAAAGTTAGTGGTCGATAGGTAACAGGCGGCAAACAAAGTTATTTTAGATATTGTTGGTATGTAATATTTTACATTTTACCTAACACTTTCCGATTCTGATTTTACTCTAAAATATATGAACACTTTCACTCATGCACAGAAACAAACTCCTATCAGTACCTAGGTGCATTGGTGTGGGTGTTCAAATCAGTCTGGGCTGAGTCAAACAGTACAAGGCTATCATTTGTAGGTACCCACACCTTATTTAGCTGTGGTTGCTTTTTTCTTTTGTTTGAAATCCTGCAACTAGTCGAACAAAATTGTTTAAATACTGTATCATATAAAAAAAATAATTTTGAAAGTATTATTTAAATGATTATCAATGAGTAACAGTGATACTGAAAATTTTATTTTTTAACTGTCTTTGAGCCACACTGTCCAAATCCCGTTAGGTATCGGGTAAAACTGAGTCCCAGTTACATTGTTATATGTATATTCTTTATAAATAATTAACAAAAGGTTTATTGAAAACACAAAACAATTCATTCTAATCATGAGTTTATATGAAACAAGTCATCGACACTGATTTTATACACATATTACAATGGTGTAAGTTGCATTCTTTCGTAACGACGTTGCCACCGACAGACCGCAACATAAAACCGTACCATAATGCTATGCACTCCGTTGTTTTTCGAGTTACACTATTATCTTGTAACCCTACCTTCCTCGAACAGGAAGCGTAATTCATGCGCTGGCAATTTTTGTGTCTCATATTTCCTGCCATCGAAATGCCACACCTCAACGATACAATTTTGGACATGACTCTTTTGGAACATAATACGTCATCCTTGTTTCGAATTGAACATTTTGAAAGGTTACTAAGAGCATCTTAAAGGTGAAACTAAAGATAGTAGTTTCAACATTAAATGACAAAGTAACTATCGGATTTTCAGGATTTATGGCAGAGCGCGTCACCATATCCTTCAGGTATATTACTGAACTGGTCCGCACGAAGCAGTTCTGCACACTACTTCGGAAACATGGACCGCTCCCCTTTGCACCCTCATTTATCAGCATAAAACCGCGATTTTTGACGATTCAGCGGGCTGCATTCACCCCAGCTAATTTCTCGCACGATGCTTCTCATTGAAAAATTATTTATAACCAAAATTGGTATCTACAACGAGAACCTTATGGTCATGTTCGTTTCTGTAAAGGATTGTACGATTGAATTAACTTTTAAAAAATAGCTGAGTAAACATTTTTTTCATTTCCATAATCGCCATCGATTGCTACCATATGTAACTGCGCAATTGAAAACAAATAAACAATAATCGACAATATTACTCTGTCATCATATAAGAATAATCGATTTTATTAAACGCATTCAACATCAAGTTTTTGATTAAAACATATTGATGTAATTTATTTATCGAAACATACTGATGTGGATTTCGAACGTATTATTTCTCGTCAGCAGATCAATCTAACATACGTATGATCGATAAATCATCAACATATCGACCAAACTGAAATTGCTTGGGATAAGCGAAATGATTAACATTTCCTATTCTATAATATAGTTTTTTTTCTGGGAAGTTAGCAAGATCCCCTGAGGCGGAAAGGTACCTATCTAATCCTTTAGTAAGTTGTAGCCAGCTTGGTGCCCGGTCCAAGTGCTACTATAGTAAATTACAAGATGGGACAATTCATACCAGGAGCCTCGAACCTTTAAGGGACTAGCTCTTTTCCTAGTAAGATTACTTGCAACTCCGCCATTGCTAAGCTATATGAGGTTCACGAGAACGTCACCCTTCTGAACCTTGTCACTCACATCAGCAGAACTGTCATATTTGCCAATGAGATAAATATGTTCCTATATATATAATCATAATGCCATATATCAAAACACCATCCTGTATTGAAATAAATTGTGCCTTGCTTTGAATCACAAATAAACGAAAATACGAAGAAACGTTTAAAAAATTTAATGGTACCTGTTTTTCAACGTTGAAACGTTAACTGTGAATGAACGAAACCGTAACTAAGACAATGGCGTGTTTTAAACGAAATTTTATTGACGGTACCTCGTAAAAAGGCCGCGCTTCTCGGGACGCAATTAACCACCTTTAAATTATATCAGAGGCGGAAGTTTTGCGGCGAATCTGAGAGTAAATGTAACAAAATTGCACTGCCAGCTGGTACTTCGCCATCCATCGTTTCGTAGCGACTTCGAATGCAAGTGGTAGAAGGCAAACAGGATATCGAATTAGTAAATAATTACTAATGACGACGCCCTGCCGGCACTTTTTACATTTAGCGCCGACTTGTTGACGTCTGGCGTCTTTTGTTGGATTTTTATTTATGTTCACAGTGATCACTGCTTTCGATGAAATTAATAATTATTTTGCCATTCCAAAATTTCACGGCGAAACGTATAAAAATATTAGATTACATTAATAGATTTCATTGTTCCTAAGAAAATTCAAAAAATAGTAAGCAACTAATTGAACGACATATTTTTGCTTTTGACGCTGTTAAATATTAGAAATGAAACAAGATAGGCGCTAAATATTAAGTCAGATAAAAAATGAAAGTTTCACGATTTTTAAATTCGTTGTAACGGTGAAATTATTTTATTTTTTGAATTATTAGGTTAGAAGCGTTCGAAATGTGGTGTTATAGGCGGATGATGAGGATATCGTGGGTAGAAAAGGTTAGAAATGAAGAGGTATTGGAAAGAATAGGAGAACAGAGGACTCTATGGAAGT